AAAAAAAAAAAAAAAAAAAAAAAGAGAAAAAGAAAAAAAGAAAAAAGGAAAAAAAAGACACGATTACGAGAACGCAAAACACGTATGCAGTTGCACTTGCACAAACGTATAAACACCAGAGAATGGTTAAAAAAACATCCTATCCTAAAAACGATGAAAAATCCTAATATACCTGAGGATGATAGATAGAGGTGGTCTTGCCATCTGTTCGGATGCTGGGAGGTGTAGTTGCGTTCGCGGTCGGCAGATTCCTCGGATTCATCGCGATTTCGGGCCCAGGGTGAATCTTCCTGATCCCCTGGGTGCCGGTCGAGGGACCCATGGTCGGGGCCTTCACCATCGTCGGCCGCACCCCGGTGTGTGCTCTCGATTCCCCGCTGTTCCACGGAGCACACGCAAGGAAATAGCGAGAAAGAGAGAGAGAGAGAAAGAGAGAGAAAGAGAAAGAGAGAAAGAAAGAGAGAAAGAGAGCAAGGGAGAAAAAGCACGCACGCACCGTGGAGACGAAGCACAGGCGAGAGCAAGCAAAAGCACACTGGCCGCCGCTGCCGCCGGTTCTATCGATCTGTCCTTCTCTCTTCTTGTTCTCCCCTTTTTTTCGCGGTAGAACGCGTGAAACGGGAAGGGAAAAAATGAGAAAATTGTCCGTGGTCCTGACGGTAGGACCCCTGAGGAGGACCCGGTTACGGTGGCACTCACCACCCAGCGTCCTCGTCGACTATCTCCACGCTCCGTTCCCTCCCTCGAACGTACATCGTCTCGTTCTGCCGACTTATCCCGACCACGGCCGAGAGCGCAGCGCCACAGGCGGACGGCGAGGGAAGTAGGGGACAAGGCTCGGTCTCCGTCGACGAGAGAGATCTCACCGCGAACGATGGAGGAGAGTTTTGGGCGGGCGGGTTGGCCGGGGACCGTTTCATGTCCGTTTAAAATGAATGATGCGCGAATGTTTTCATTAATTCCGAAACACGGCGGAAGATGGCTCGCGTGTGTCGTAGTAGTAGTCGTGGACGCGCGTAATGCTTCGGCTTATACGTTACACATGATCCATTTATACAGGAGAGTTTAAATATTCCGAATTGAGGTTTTAAAAAAAAAAAAAATCGCGTGGCTCGTGGAAATTGGATTTTTGGATCGCGTTGAGCTTAAAGATCGAACGTAAAGATAGGAGAAAATTTGAATTTAGAATTTATGATAGTTTAATAAGGTTAGAATCTGAGTCTAGACTAGATAAGTCTAACTTTGAACGAAATGGAAAATTTTGGAAATGGGCCAAGAATAATTTCTTTGCTGTTTGATAAATGATGTATAAATTTTTTAATTTTAAAGGGGTTTAAGATGATACACGGTACGCGGTAATTATATATAGATAAGGCATGATACTTTTACGTTTTTTTTTATAACGGTAAAGTAGAGTGATCATAGCACTCGAGAGGATTTAAGTATTTAAGAATTTTTTGATTCTACGAAGCTTGCGATGTATAAATATCGTATATTGGATCGTTGTGGATGAGTTTAAGGAAAGTGGAATGTTAGTTTCAGAATAGCATAAGTGGAATTTGTAATAACTAAATAGAATATGAATGTTTCGTGGTAGATAAATGTGCAGAGTTGTAAAGGTATTTAATATATTTCGGTATTTAATATATTTTATTTAAAATTATATTATGAATAAAAATATGGAATTTGCAATAATTAAATAGACTACGAATATTTTAATGTAGTGGATTAAAAATATATGATAGAACTTTTTTTATATTAGCGATCTTTTCCTTCTATTATTTTTCTTATCGAATATTTGTCTCACTTGACTTCTTTGTGAATTATATTCTTTGCAATTTTTATTTTCACGATGCACAAAGAGCGAGCTGGTACAGAGGAAATTTGCTCGTTGAACAGGTGTCAGGATTTATGGGTTTTCGGATATAAGCGCAAAGATCGAAAGGGAAATTGTACGATTACGTATTGCGGTGTGTGCAGAGTTATACGAGATTAAAATTATAGGTTAGAATTATGAATTATATTAAAATATATACGCGTTAGGAATTGTTTTAATATTTTAATTTCTTTTTTAATATTAGTGTGACTGAAATTTATGAAAGTTCAGATATAAATGTAATTTGTTAAGTATAAATCGTATTGTAAAAATTTTAATATTATTAACAATTGTTTAGTAACTATTTCCTTAATATTTCGAAGAACTAGATAAAAAATTATTCGAAAAAATAGAACATATGAAACATAACTTATATATAAAAAATGATACGAGATTGATCAAATATATTTCATCCTCTGCTTCAAATAAATGAATAAAACATTGACCCATGAAGCTATTATATTTCTTATTCATCAGTATCTCTAATATTTTCGCTTTCATATATACTTCAACATATTTTCCACTTTTTTCATATATATTTTTCATATATATATATTTCAATAAATAAAATTTGTTTGTCTATTTCTTATTTAAATCATTAATAAACACAAACACAAAAAATAAATGTTGCAAACAGATAAACTTAAATAAATAATAAAATTAAAAAAAATAAAATTTTCATAATTTTAAGTTAGAAATACTCTTCCTGTTTCGCAAATCAAAACAACTCGTTATCTCAAAATATCAGCTCCATATACACGATAGTATTTTATCATATCCCAATGGAACAACGGGTCAATTCCCTTAATAAATAAAAATTCCACCGTACAAAAGACGAATTCACCTCGTGGCGTTCTCGTTGCTTCCGAACGAAGTGGAAGGTCGTAACGGGAAAAAAAAAGAAAGTATAGGAAAAAGAGAAAGCCGAAACGTCTCGAAGGCCGATCGTGGATCGAACACGGTTCGTACGAGGGAGAATTTCGGATTGTGGAAGGGATGAATGGACGAGGATGGAATGGTAGTGGATTCATTGTGAAGAAATCGTTTGCTAACCAGGAAGGGAAGGTTGAACTCGTGCCTCGGATCATTTGTGTTCCCAATACTTTCGTAGTCGCTTTTAACTAGCGGTAAAAGCTCAAGGGAAATCCAAGACTTGTAACAGAGGGAACGTATTTACGCTTCATCGAAGGTAAGAATACAGTTTCTTGTCTTTCGGATATCATTTTTTTTTTTCGAAGATAAAATTTGTAAAGTCATACGCATGATTAAAATATTTTACGAGATACGAATATGATTGAAATGGGTATTATGAAATTGAGTTGGATTCGCGAATGAACCACGTTGAAATTAATTCCATTTCATGGAGCCTCCAAGTCGACTGTTTCCACCTGTGTAATGAGGTAATTACACAGGGCATTCGGTAAAGGTGATTCCTTCGACAATGTAGAATTAACGAGACTCGGATTGATGGAGAAATTATATAAGATATCTGAATAATATTATAGAATTTGAAAACATGAAAGGTATATATATTTTTAAAAATAATTGCAACAACGAAGACTATAAAGTGTTATTTGGTAAATAAAAAAATCTTTGAAAGGTATAAATATGAAGATTTTTTTTTTAAAGCCAAACAAATGCCTTTGGAAGATATTTCCTTCGATAATAATCTCCTTCCAGTTTAATGCCATTGAAGGTAGTTAAGGAATAAAACTGATTAAAAGTAGTCGGTGAGTAAAACTTTGTGATAAAAGTTTACTTCTTTTAAAATAGCAGATTAACAGCATCGCTAATTTCATGGATGAAGCGAGTGTAAAACCAGTAATTTTAAATTAATATTTCACTTTAAATACGACATCATGTTTATAGATGTTTATAATAGATCACTTTGTAAAATGCAATTTTAATTATAAACTCTAACATTTAAGGAATTAAATAGGATGTAATAATCATTTTGAATAAATTTAACTTTAAAACTTCTCTATATTCTAAAAATTAGAAAATGTGATTTATCAAGTTCTGTCGGTTTCAAATGCACAAATGCGCAAATGTCGATAAATGTTAAACGTACAAAATATTAAAGTTGTCACAAGTTTTCGAGAACAATTGAATCTTAAATTGAAAAAAAAAAAACAACTGAATGAAACCTACGTGATGAACACCCACATATCAATGAATATTTATATGCGCGAGAAACGAAGACCATTTGAACTTTATCCGATAAGAACCTACGTAATAATTCAACTTCGCCATGATTCTTTAAACAAAACCCCTAGGCGAATGAAAAAGAAAGAGAAAGAGAAAGAAACGTTCGTGAAAATAAAAACCATACCCAACGATCAACCGTTGCGATCGATTCAGCTCTCATCAAAAGAAAGAAATATTCTCGCTAACGACAACGAACAAACGTCATCGCGTTTCGATAAAAAATACGGAACGTATCGCACGACGCCTACGAGTTGACGGATTGGCAATCTGGAAAAAAGCGTATCAGACGGAAGATATTGCGGTGGGAAGGGAATAGAAAAAGGGAAGCGGGAAAAAAAAAGTAGAAAAAAAAGGATCGTGTTTTACGTCATCGACCCTCCACGGAAGAACTGACGCCCACGCGAGAAATGGATGCGTACTCTTATGCTTATGAAAAGGAGGAACATCTTTGTACAGAGCCTATAGTCAGTCTAATTCAAATAGATGCTAGCTTATATCATCGAAAATTTGAGTTTCAAATAATCTTATTATTCGTAAAATCAATGCGCAAAATTCACGATATGTTTTGTATTGAAAGCAAATTATGAAATTCTATTCGATATGATATGTTATATAGAAGTCAAACTGGTCGAATTTATTGAGAATAATCATTTTTTAGAAGTGAAGATTATTAAAACAATTGAATATTATAATTGACGATTTATAAAGTATTTATTATATATAAATACGATCAAGAAATTTTAAAATTTAATTTAAAAAAAATTATGATCCTAATTTAAAAAAAATTAATTTGTCGAATTAGCTTCAAAATCTAATTTTTATAAATGCACAAGAAATTGTTTTTTCTTTATTTAAAATTAAGATAGAAATAATCATATTGAGATGATCATAAGATTATGAAAAATTATGTAAAATATATAGAATGATAAATATCGATAACAATATAGCTACGGAGATCATAATTTTTCGTTTTACAGTCGTAGAATTTTTTTATACTATGTATTTATCTAGCGCGCTTGTGTTCGCGTGATGCATGGCGTTCAACGAATCGACAGTTTTCTGCGCTAGTTTTGTTGCTGTATACGGGTAAACAACCCACTCGTGAATTTCCACGACTGTTTGTGACAATCGAAAGATGTATTATCTCGTTTTGTTCAATTGCTGGCAATGATATAACGATTTTGCAATGCCGCGATTCTCTAAGATTTTCTTTCGATAATCTTTCCATATTACAGGATTTTCTACATAGAGATCAGAATTTTCACGGGATCAAATGATATACCGACCGTGTTACAACTTGTCATCGACAGTACTGACATACAAACGAGAAACAAAATAGACAATAATATCTTATGGAATTTTCAGTCACGTATTCTGAAATACCGACCTTAAGAAAGATCAGAATGTTTCTTGCGCCATCTAGAACGCTATAATGTAAGTATGTATGCAGAATTGAAATCATTTAAAAAATACAAAATCTATGCCTATTTAGTTTTAAAACTGAATGTTATCTTACCACTTTAATAAATTCAGTTAAAAAAAATTACCTCTCTTCCATAAAACGTTAGCTGTCATCGTGACTGTTCATCGTGACGTTTTTTTCTTTTTTCCAGTTAAAGCGATCAGCTATTTATCTGCACAAAAAAGTCAAATAAAATAAATGTAAAATTAAAAAATAAATGTATAAATGTATAAAATTAAACTAATCTGATTCAAATTCTATTTTAGAAATTCCCAATATGAGTTAATAGTTAATTCATATTGTCAAATTGACGAATAAAAATAAAAAAAAATTATCGAAAAATAATTTTTCAAAAAATTATCAATAAAATTAATATTCAATAATTAAACAAATATTTATTAATGAAATAATTATATAAAAAATAAGAAAAAAATTAAAGAATTACGGAATAAATTACGCATTTGAATTAAAACATCTGCCTGTCACGAGTGTCGATAACAGAATAACATCGTGTATAGCGATTCCAATGTATCGAATTATAAATGAGGAGAGGGGATATGCTTAACAATTCGACAAATCAAAACATATCGAAGCGTGGCATAAATACGAATTGTATTTCTCGGAAAGGCTTATAAGAAATGTTTTCAACTTTGGGACTTTAAGCGTAAAATCAAAACAAATACAGAAATCTCTAATAACATACGAATTGAATATAATGGATAAACACGCATTTAGAAATGAAATATGTATATGTGAAATAATTTAATTACTTCGATTTTTATATGAATAAAATGATAAAAGAAATTTATAATGATTCTAATATAAAATATAAATAAATAAAAACTTACCATATTTAGATGAAAATTGTCCAATTATATATCTTAATTATCATGATATATGGAAAAACTATTAAACCTTCAAAGTTATTTTATCTTCGAAGCTTCAGATGATTTGCGTAAAAATATGATTAATTCTAATATAATAATAATCAAATAAACATGTATTAATTAAGAAACACTTAATAACCTATAATTAAACTTAATAATCGTAATATAATATTTTATGGATAAAAATTTTATCTAATTACGCACTTCTGCCGATAACACACAACTTGTCAGCACAATTTTCAATGGTAGACTGAGGACATGCGCATTATGATGCGCCTTAATTTATCTGCTCATTTGCTAAACTCAATCAAGAAACTAGTGGTTTCTTGATTGACTAAAACAGTACTATTTCCTATTAATTTCAATCGCACAAGAATTCAAATACAATATACTTTAATTATAGATTTTTATATATCAAAATTTTATTTTATTCAATTTTATAAAAATTTATTACAATATGGAAATAATATTTATCTTATTCTTGAAAATGATACATATAAGCAAATATGATAAAGTAGAATAAGAATTATAGATGAGCGCTGTTTATTCAATATTTTTGAAGAGATATTTTTAGCACTTAAGAGATGACGCTAACCATCAATTCTTACTCTATTTTTTATTATTTGCTTTTTTGTTTATATTTTTGTTTATATTTATTTTACAAATTCATATGTTTAGAGAAAAATATTAATTTTTAATTAATTTTGTTATCAAAATTGTTATCAAATATAATATTTATTTTATATTTTATATTTATAGATATAATCAGAAAAGGCAATGAAAAAATATTAAAATTATAAATTTACATTATAATATTATATTTATCTTTTCATAAATATTAATATTTTTAAATTTAAAATTTATTTTAGTTTTGTATATTTTATATCTTTACCTCAATTCTAAATGAAATTATATACATATCTTTAATATAGATAATTCTATTCTTGAAATTGTTTTTAAGAAATAATTTACACAAAATTATCAAGAAAAAAATAAAAAATTTTGTACAGAATAATCTGTACAAAAATGTAAAATAATATAAAGAAAACATTATTGTCTCGTTAATATAAATTTCAATTGCTTACTAATAAAATAAATTAATAAATAAACCTCAATTGACATTTTTGTATATTAATTTTTGTATTTGTTTTGGCCTCTCTCTTAATTTTTCAAAGATGTTTTTCAAATAGATAATAAAAATTCTACGTAAAAGATATCAAGTTTTTATTAAGAAAAAACAAATTAAAAACATATGAAAGGATAATTACAGTATAATGGAAAATTTCAAGCAATTAGTATTCATCTTGGCAAGAATTATTACAAAAAAACATACTAGATATAATTATGATCGTGCAAAATAAACAGTATTCATGAATAAAAATCAGATACATTTTCATTAAACAATATATCTATTATAAATATTTATATTATTTCTTGATAAATTCTTTTTATTCATTCAAATTAATTAGGATCAATTAATCAATCTAATATGGTAGAAAATTTTAAGAAAATCGATAAGTTTATAATATAATAAAAGTAAAATATTTTTCGCCTCTTATCAAGTTTAAATATTTATGATACTTCATTCAAAAATTGCAGACTAAGATTTATTCGTAAATACAAGAATTGTATTATTTCAATATGCATGATTTATTTGAAAACATATAAATATCTTGAAAAATGTGAATGTTGCCAAAAAATATTTGGAAAAATATTTGAAAAAAATTTATCAAGATATCAAGGATTATCTTATTATTAAAATAATATTTTAATTTTCAAATTGAAATCTGATAAATAACTATAGATATAGTAAAACTTTTCAAAATATTTTCTATTAGACAAATGCATTTTGTATCGAGATATTAAATTATAATGATGTATTTATATAATTTTATTATTATTATTAGTATTTATATAATTTTGTATAATATTAATTTATATGTAGAATTATACAAATTAACATTATATAAACTTATGATGTAAGTATTATAATGTTGGAGAATATCAAAAAATTAAATTAGATAAAGTGAAATATTATCTATTATTACATATTAGAAAGAAAATCTTAATCAAAGTAATTAAATATTAAATATTAAATCTATTTAATCTGAAATATGTATATTAGAGATTCATATCATTTTACGAGTTATAAATTTTCAAAATTCGATTATCTATAATATAATCATTGATAAGTAATCGTTTACTTATAATAAAAATAAAAAAAATCTAAAAATGAATAAATTATCCATAAATCTCCACGAAGTTCAAAAATCATTTGAAGTCATTTGATAAAAATGAGAAGATACATTTAAAATAATATCGCTTATTTTATTTCTATTCTGTTATCTCTTATTTCAGAATAAAATCGACATAGACTATATGTATATATATAAATATAGACATATATATGTACACATACATATATATTCGATTCATAAGTAAGTCGTCAGTTACTAAATATCTACGGTTAAAACAAGTTTTTTTTTCGATCTTCCAAGACGATTCTTATTCTTCTTTAATCTGTTTTTCATGTAAGATCTAAATATCTTTATTCTTTTTAAAAATTACTGTTCTACATCATTCAAAATATTGTATAAATGCAATTGTTTGACATTTGTAATATTTATCATTCTTTTTCAATGTTTCGTATGTATATTAAGTGAGACGAAAGTATGCCAGTGTTCATTAAAATCCATTAAATATCGT